GAAAATTATTAGTGGCCATCTCCTCATTCAAGGAATAAGCCTCATCAAATGGCTTTGACATGAGTGATCCACCAGTAATAACATCAATAATAGATCTAAGGGATCTGCCTAAACCATTGTAAAAAGTCTAAACAATTAGTCATTCAAGTAGTGCATGATGTGGGCACTTCTTAAGAAGCTCCATAAATCATTCCCAAGCCTCATATATTGACTCACCTTCACGCTGGTAAAATGAAGTAACATCATTTCTAAGTTTAGTTGTTTTTTAAGGCAAAAAATACTTTCCTTCATTTTTTTGGGCTAAGTCACCCCACATCCTAATTGATCCAGGTGCTAATAACCTTATTTTGGCGTTATCCCTTAAGAAAAATAGAAAAATCCTAAGTTTAACAGCATCATTTGACACGCCAATATAGTAAAATGTAGCGCAAAGTTCTAAGAAACTTGCTAAATGTAAATATGGATCCTTAGATGGGGTTCCCCAAAATTAATAGTTCTACACCATTTAGATAATAGCAGGCTTAATTTCAAATGTGTTAGCTTCTACTATAGGAGTTCAAATACTTAAGTGAATTTCTTCTACGATAAGATTGGCGTAATTCATTAATTGTTTATGTGCGTCATAATTTGGTTCATGTGTTTCTACATTATTTTGTGAATTTTTCATCATTTTTTTTGCAAGTTTGTGAACTCTTCTTTGATTTTTAATCCTTCTAATAGTTCTCTCTAATTCAAAGTCATAAGGCACAAGTCATATAGGTCTTAAACTATGCATAAACTAGAGACTCTTCTATATATGATTCACACAACAAGCAAACAAATATATTTTAAAATTTTTCCTCTTTTTCAAATAAAAAATAATTAAAAAAAAATTAATCATACAAATTTTCAAGCCTAAGTCTAATTGGTTCAACTAAAATTCTTCTAAGTTAACTACCCCATTGCTCCTCTCCAACTGTGCCAAAAAACTTGGTACTCCCTGTCAACGGTGTCAAAACACTTGATGTGTCCTAATTCTAAGTGCAGGTATTTCACATAAGTGTACATGTCATATCAATAATATTAGATTTTGAGCCTGGAATATCGATCCCACAAGGAGTGAGGTAAGAGAAGTTCTAGCCTATTAAGTTTAGCTATTAGAATGGAATTGGAATTAAGTTAAGGTTCTAAAAATTACTCCTACTAAATTGCAATCTTGTTTAAAGGTTAAATCCTACAAAAATCTTACTTACCCTAATTAGTTTGGTGATTATTAAGTTCTATAACTACCTTCCCTCTCAATGGTTTAATTGGTAGTGTAAAAAATGTAAAGTGGTAATTGTGAATGTGGCTAGTGACAAATAGCATCAATTCTTTTCTTTACCCTCTATGACTGCCTAAAAAGGTTTGGTTAAATTGGTTTTAATTCCTTAAACCCCAACTTGGACCCATCAAAGATTATATCCCTAATATTTGTATTTCCCTATAATGTACTTGTTAAGTACCCTATATATCAATGTGAATAACCTAGTTGTTCTACCACACCTCTCTCGAGTCGTTACAAATCAAAACACATTAAAACTAATCACTTGTTCTGAATAAAAATTAAAAGAAATTTTGAAGTTTATTCATCGCATTCAAGATTAAAACCCAATTTTTAAAACACTTTTCATTCCTACATAACTTAATAAAGCATCACAAGGAAAGGTAAGAAGAATACTCGGAAAGCATTGAGACAATACCATAAAATATCTCTGAAAATAAGTAAATCCACTATAGAATTGTGTTTAAAAAAATACATATACAAGAGTACACAATACTTAGCTTCCCCCTCTCTTTCAGAGTGTTGATATTGCTTCACCCAAGGATCTCCAAGTTTCCAAGTCCCCTTGCTACTTTACTCAAACCTCTCCTCACTTTGCACATGAAAATCTCTCTAAAACCCTCATAATATGCTCTTTAATCTATCCTACAATAAAGCACTAAATATAGACTTCCACTCGAAATCAAAAGACTCTTTTTTATTATTCCACTGACTATATCCTACAATAAAGCACTAACAATAGACTTCCACTCGCAATCAAAAGGATGTAAACCTAAAATCATTTTGGACTATTTATGTCAACTCACAAAATGATTACAAAACCTTAAAATCATTTTGGACTATTTATGTGGATGAAGTTGACATAGTATTTTGCTAAAAAAAGGATGTAAACCTAAGCTACATAACTAAAAATAGCCACCATATGGGGCGAATCTATGCTACATCTTAAGAAACAAACAGCATGTGGGGAAATTCAACACATCCCTTCTAGAAATGTCTTTGAACTAGCACATTACTCTAGTCTCAAAAAATATTTCATTTCCATTGCCACCACAATATACTCAGTCTCCTTAGTATACATTGGAGGAAGATGATGATTAATAATTTTGCATTGGGAAGTCGTATGAACCTATTTTTTTTACTTTTGAATAAATATTCTTATATTTCATGCATTATAAGAATACATTAATGATAATACTTATTCAAGTGTCTGGGGGCTTGTATACTCACTTCATGATAGACAAGTCCTATTGTTATCTTTATTATATTTTTACATTGGGAAGTCGTATGGAAATATTTTCGTATTATACTCACTTCAGGAGTGAAATACATTTTTATACTCACTCATACTCTAAAATATGATAGATTTTTGCTTATAATATGCTTTTTGTAGTTTGCTTTTCTTGTCATTTTCTATTAGATTTATTAGGAGAGAGGGGTTGAAAAGAAATTATGTCGTGTTAACCAAATATATATCTATCATATTTTTTTAATAATAATATTTTGTGTGTCACTACCATTTATATGTGAAAAAATTTACTGAACACCTAAAGTTAATCACTATTGCATTGTTTAGGTTTTAAAAAAACTATAATCATTTATTATAGAGTATATTACATCTCAATTAAACATCAATATTACTTTGAGTTTGCAGTTATTTAGTAGAGAGTACAATGCATATAATCCTTGTAATCACTCTCTCGGATTTACTACATTTGCTTAGAGAATTACATTTGTGGAAATCCATCTGATATGTTCCTTAATCTATCCTTAAAAACTATGTGTATCATTTCATTTCTATAATTCCGAAAGAGTGATAACAAAATAGATCAAACCAAGAGTTCACGTGCTTTTTCAAAGCATGCAAATTCACAACCTTCAAGTGTCACCTCATTGTCACCTTCATGGCATGCCATCTCCACCACCAAGGAATGAAAAATATGACCATCTTCAATGGGTCCATAATCATCATACACTACTATATTTATTGTTATCCGTTGATGTTAATCTCTACTCTAACATTGTGTTGTCATCCCCTCCTATAAGAGGTTGCCCTAAAAAAGAAATTCATTGTGCCACCAACATTCAGGATACAAGCAACATCTCCATTTATATTGCAAAAATTTAATTCATTCTCCAAATTAAAAAGAGGCGTCTTATTGCAACTCATATCTACACACAACTAGAGACTTTGAAGACTGACTTTATTAATTTTTAAAATAAAAAAAATGTAAGTTTTGAGGTATGTTCGTAATTAAGGACTCAAATTTTATTTATGCCAACTAAACTTCAATCAATAAATTTGTATCCCTTTAATTTTCAGTCTTACTATTTTTATGTTCGCAAGACATCATATAATTGAAAAGAAAAGGCGAAAAAAAACATTCATGTACATCATTATTTTAAAAAAAAATAAAGATTTTGAGTTACGTTTTTAGTGAAGACAATCCCCACTATATAAATTGCAAAATAATTTAATTAATTTTGTAAAATATAATATTTCAATTTTTTTATAACGAAACAGTCGTGTACTTGTATGTTGAAATTAGCCTGCAAAATTCATGCAAACATTTTTTCGCCAAATATTTACACATGCATGTGTTAATAGACACTAGTGCATTTGATATGTAGAGGAATACCAATAAAGATTTTGGGGGCCATACCTCTTTTAGTGATGATATCAATCTCGTACTACAGATATTATTCATGTTGTTAGCCACGTATCAATCAAATTTGCCTTCAACCGTTTATTTAATGGTTTGAATTTCTATATACAATCAAGGTTCTTACTTTGAATCAAAATTATATTAAGTTTACGAAATGGTTGTAAATTTTAATAACAACGGTCATAGTTTCATTTGCCATTGATTTAGGTTATGTAGGTATTGCATAGTAAGTACATGAAAATATTTTTTTCTCTTTTCCAAAGAAGATAACAAACCTTCTAAATCATTATGATTCAAAGTCGTGTCAACTTCAAGTTTGATGATTATCTCAATTTGAAAAGCAGGAAAGAGATTTTCGATTACCACTATTTGGAGGAACAGAATGTCAAGTGCATACCTTTGATTTGATATCTCATTTAGGAAAAAATATTATAGAAAATGGACCACATGTCCGGACGACAGTTCACATACAGCCACATCATCATGGATTCCATCACGGCAACCAATTCGAACCACATCCTAGGTAATATGTTCTCCTCATCTTGGAGCCGCACTCTTTTTGGCTGCAGATCTTCTGATTCATCGTATGGATCGGCCATTGTTCATCACTAAGTTCAGTTGACTATAGCGTTCAGTTCGTGCCGCATGTGGACGGTACTCTATAAATGCTCATCAAAAGTTGGCCCCTAAAGGAATTAGGAAACCCTTTCTTTTATCCAATATGTTGAAAGAATTTTTTGTACAGATAATCGAGGTAGTCCTTGGAATTGTTAGCAATTACAACGCGCAAATAAACCATGTAATATTTTATTTGACGCATTTTAGGTTTGATCAAAGCCATCAATAAAAGCATGAATCAGACATGAAGAGTATCACCGTTACTAAAATCATACCAACGCATAACATTTAATGGTTAAACAAACGTAGAAGTATACAAATGGGCAAGCAGAGAGCAAGACCGATTAATATATGCTTTCTATAAGATATTTCCTACGTAAATCATATAATTAAGGCAATGAAACAAAAAATAGTTAAACATCAACCGATAGAGCCTGGCAAAAGTATAAAAAAAGAAAAAGCAAAAAGACAAAAGATAGTCAGAACCTTCCACATGCTTTTCTTGCATTAACATGTGTATCAGAGTATCGTTACAATCCGAGAACAAAATACAAACTAAAAGTAAATTAGTCAGAGAACGATGACCAATAAAATGATGACATGTATAAAAATGAGACGTTCACACATATAAACCCCCTCCAACTCCGGTGTAATCTTGCAGCTTCTAAAGTGCTACCGTAGACAACAAATTTTATAAATCTACCATTCATAAACAACGACCAAATCAGTCTCTCTCATAATTGCCAGCATGCCCTATAAGGTTAACTCACCCGCAACTTAAAAACAATCAATAAGCATTGCAAACCAAACTGAATATACACAGGACAATCTACGTGGACCAAACTACTAAGCACTGAACAAGCAACGGAAAATGCCTGCATGAAGCTAAACTGCATTGGCCGATTGGCTGAAAAACGCCTCTCAAACCTACAGACTCACGGGTTCAAGCTATTTGCCATTATAGGCTCACCAAATCCAAAAAAAGAAAGCATGCATAGAAAATCTACATTCAATCAGCTCCCGTACCATAGCCGTCGCCTGCTTTATCTGATCAAAAGTTCCTTCCAATTCAATGTTCCTCAGATTTGTATCGCTCTCGTGGTCACGAATGGAAAGCTTGGCACCGGTCAGACGGCAGACCTGCTTAGTGTTCACCCCACCTTTCCCAATTATGGCGCCAGCCAATGAAGCATCAACACTTATCTTTGCAGTTGCAGAAGCGCCAAAGCTGGCTGCTGGACCAAGACCAGGGGGTGGAGGAGGTTCAAACCGCCCCCCAAGTCTCCCACCCATTGGTGGAGCAATTGGGGCTTCATGACCAGAAAAAAAGGGCCGGCCAAGTTCTCTCTCACCATGGGCAAAGTGGCATTTCTCTCCAAATTTGCAACCTTCTGGAGTATTAAACTTATTGCATAAGCGAGTCTTTGCAGCTGGAGTTGGAGGACCATCAGATATTGGGAGTGTTCCAACAGGATTCCTTGAAGCAGCGGTAAAAGAAGGGTTCCCCAAGCTGGACATCTGCGCTACAGCATTATATCCCCCAGGTACAAAGTGCAGAAAGTGACAACCCTCCCCAAAAGGGCATCCAGCAGTGCTGCACCCCACAATAATAGTAATTAGACACTGCTAAAATATATACAAAATTATTAAAAAAAGGCAACCAATAGCATGATTACAGCATTTAGAAATAACTCTAAAAATGTTTTTAAATTCTGGGTCTTTAGTAAACAAGTCAGGTTGAAGTTCGAGATCAGATTCAGGCAAGCTTTTAAATGCTTGGAATTTAAATAAAAGAAATAAGGAACACAAAGCTCTCAAGTCAATGGGAATAATCAATCAATAAATTGTTGTGATTTAATCTCATGTTTTTTATTTTACTTGAATTCAATAAACCTAACTCACCATAAAACTAAAAAAATAAAAACAGTTGATGATAACATACGTCCGGTGATCCTGGTGATGCTGCATTCCATTGAATTTTATTTTGTTCTCTTTTTTTCATTTTACATGAATCCAATCAAAGTCATGTCAAACTCCTCACCCCACCAAAAAAAATAAGATAAAAAAATAGAAATCAATGATTAACACATGGCCCATTATCCAGATGCTGCTGCATTCCATTGAATTGTATTTTAAACCCAAAAGAATATGACAACTTAATACATACAAGGTATAGAAACTCATCGCGGTATCGTGCGCTACACATTGTACTGTATTGCATTTTATTGTGTTATTTCACGTTGCAGCTCATATGATTGAGTGGAAGTTATACTGCAGTTGTATGTAGTATCATTCGAGTGTGGTTATTTGGTAAAAACATTACATTTCAACAGACACAAGCTTAAAGCAAGATAAAGTTGAATATAATTATAAATTTCATAAATTTATAATATTATTTAAACAAATTATGTATCCATTTCACAAAAGAAAAGTGAATATATCACTTTTCTCAAAAGAATCCTGAACCATCATTTTAAGAAATCTTCTATTTATTATTCTACAATTGAACTTATAATTCAGACCACCCACCCTAAAAAACTTCTAATATTTAAGAAAATAAAATCAAAAAGCAATTCCAAGATAATGGTGTTAATCAATACAGCAAAAGTATTTATTTTATTTTTTGGCATAAGAATTTGTAAAGTATTCAAACTGTTATTAAAAAAATGACTAGCCTGAAAGCAAGAAACAGTTCTGGAAAAGTATTTGATTAGCAATTACCATATAAATTTTGGTCGTTCCAGATTTCATCACCCTAATAATTGTTTGAACAGTAAATTAGACAAAACTTGGCTATTAAATAATAGATAGTTACAGATTAAAAAACTAAAAGTTAATTATGGATTCTATTATGGTTTCTAACACAAAAATGTTGTAATTTTCGATATTTCAATTAATTATTAAATTGAATTGCATATCCATATATGTATTAACTAATGAATAGAAAAAATAGCTACTGAATTAGACTAATTAGTTATCAGAATAATAGGTTAAATTAACTATTCATACATCAATCCAATAAAATTTAATGGGCAAGCTAATTAAATATTAATTACTGTCATTAAAATAATTAGCCTAATTATGGATTATTTGATACAAATAAATAGCTGATAAATAAATTACATTAATATTTTAATTATTCATGAATTAATTAACGAATAATAATTAATCAGTTTATTAAGATTAATTATCTTAGATAAAACACTTTTCTCAAAAGAATCCTGAACCATCATTTTAATAAATCTTCTATTTATTATAAATTTGACAGTTGCAATGCTGAATCAGACTAAGTTTGCTTTTCATGTACAACAAACCATAGATCTACACCCCCTTAACTAGGAGAGAATATTACATGCGCAGTCCACATGCATGCGTACTTTTATCCTGGGTGCGCCATAAAAAAAGCCCATAGATCTGTGAACAGCACGCCAAAACATTGCAAAAATAATGTTTCCACCATTAAAATTCGTTTAATAAACAAATAAATCACGTCTAATCAACTAGGTATGTAACCCGTAATATAAGATGGATGCTGCAAATCATTTTCCTTATTAACACATCAGTAAATTGCTTAAATAAGCATGATAATGATTAAATGAAGAGCGCACCTCCAGAGGTACATATTAAATAATGGATGTTTTCAGGACCAGATAACTAGAAGTTTTCTTTATAACAGATAGCAATACAATTCATATCAACAGTTGAGCAATTATGATTCAATATGCTTTAATGGAATAAGTGAATAGTACTGGGACTTTAACTTTTATTAATGCGTCTTTTATATGTAATGCTTAAAAAATTCAGACGAAGATCATGCATAAAACAATATAAATAGCATTCAGTTATGACAGGCTAGTTAGGCAGTGAGGTAAAGAAGATGACACCTCGATAAGTTTGTGTTTATTGTTCATCTTAAGCAAGCAACTTCCTCTGGGTGTCAGGCTATATTCACTTGATTTTATAAATGGAAAATAGTCCTTCAAATGTTAAATATAAGTTATTTTCTATGGTGAGAAAAAAATAATGCATAAACGTTTATTCTTAGATCTTTATACTCCATACTTAAATTTAATTGTACTTGTTTAAAATTATTAATCGATTTAGAAAGTCTATTGAACTTGAAATGTAAATAAATCTAAGAATTCACTATTTAATTTACAATTTCAACTCTTCAATAACATTTATCATAATTAAACAAATCTAGCAAAAGAAAACAGCGCATAAACGTTTATCATTGAATCTTTATACTCCAAACTTTTAGTTTAGTTATACTTGTTTAAAGTTATGAATCGATTTGGAAAGCCTATTGAACTAGAATTGTAATGGCAGCTACGAATTCACTGTTTAATTTACAATTTCAAACTCTCCAATAAGTTTTTTTTTTCTTAAAAAAAACACTTCAACACCATTTACCATAATCAAATAAATTTAAAAGCAGAGTATATTTGTCCTACCTGCCATGTTAATTTTCATCACCCACGCTAAACATCTTTAACTTAATTTTAAGAGTTTGACATCGACAAGTATTACCAAAAACGCACTTAATAAATCAATATAAGATGTACAAAAAAAATAATTAGATTTGCTCTTGATCAGATAAAGTGCATAGTTGTATAGTGATTAAAGAGAACGGATAAAAAAAACTCTTACCCCTCTAAAAATAAAATTCATTAAAATATCAGGGACTTGCAATTATAAATATGACAAAGCATTTATTTTATAAATTTTGACAGAATCAGATATCCATTTAACCATCAGATGCATAATAGAAAACCATATTCCTTGAAACATTATTAAAAGGCATAACGTCATTAACAGAGGCATCCATCAATAAATAAATAACTGAACTCACAGAAATCCATAAAACACGACAAGGAATAAAAATAAATATCAGGCATCCATCATAGAAAAAGAACATTACTTGAGGTACTTGCCTTATGCTTGAAAAGAAAAAATAATAATAATAATTGTCACTCTTTGTGGCTAAATAAAAAAAAAAAATCATATGAAAATTAAAGCACTCCAATGAGGTTACTAACGCAACCAAAGCAAACAAAACGGAACAACTTAAGAAATTCCAAAATTAAGGATCTTGACCAAAATTACCAATGTAAAGAGCATTTAATAAAAATAAACATAAGCTTCATTTGGCGCAGGTTCTTAACTGCTTTTCTGGAAAAAAAACCAACTCAAATTTAATGTTATTTGATGGACAACTTCCTCACAGTTTTTTTCTTTCTTTTTTTCCTAATTTTCTTTAAACAGTCATTTTTGAAAAAAAATATTTAATACTACGGTTAAGAAAGGAGCTATTAAAAAATGAAATATAAAAGCTGAATTTACTCCAAACAAGGCCTAAACAAAATAGTGTAAAGCTTAGGAAAATCAGCCAACCAAGAATATGTAATCGATAAGGCACTATACCACCAACAAGCTTTAATATGTTTTTAATAGGTTTGGTTGTCATTTAAAAATATAATGTAATAAATAGCTGTTACCTTAATCGCCTTCACATAAGGTTCAGATTTGACATCCTTTTCTTAGAAAGGAAGCCATCATAAATGTATAAACAATCTAGTTACAACATATGATTTTGAGAAGAAAAGATGTTAAACAAACAGAACAGCTTAAATTATTGCATTCTCCAATATATAAAAAGCTTATCACCAATTAATTATTCTATGAAGCCCTATTTTACTTCCATTGCCACCATAGGTGCTTATTTTTCACATGAGCTGGTAAGAGTTAATTCCAGGTCCAATCTTGTTTGTGACAAAATTACTGTAGAAAATTCTTGTTATCTTGCTTAATTCAGAACCTGTATCACAAACTTAAATCACCAATTCAGTAAATTAAAATATAGTATAGTTAAATGAAATTTAGAATACATGCAAGTTTAATTTATATACAATTACAAAAGAAATGGACGTTCAAAGTGTGATATTTATTTGTCACAGGTTAAGATTAGAACCTGAAAAACAGGTTAAGATTAGAACCTGAAAATAAGATTAGAACCTGAAAAACTTGGTGCATGGCTTCGATTTGCTTCCTAAACCAGGTTGACTTGAGTCGCTTTCTGTTGCATAAAATTAATCTTATGTTCTCAGTTCAAAGTTAATTAATCTATTAATCTTAAAGATTATAAAACATGAAAAATTACATATATTGGCACCATTAACATAGTGAAAATATATGCTGATTAATAATGAATTAATAAATTTCATCAGTTGAATGCAAAGTGCGCAATTTGAGAATTGCCGAAGCTCTAGCCTGTGATTAAAATATTGTTTAAGAGAAAATTTATTAAAGCTTTCTTTTATGAATAAATCTGTGTGAAAATTCAAATTTCACAATACCTACACAGCAAACTATCTATGGACAAAATAACTTTATATCTTTATATATGTATATAGATATATATGTATACATGCATGTATGTATATATTATATATATGTGTGAGTGTGCGCGCACGCGTGGATATAGATATATAAAGTTAAAATAAAGATAATACTATCCTATTTAAAAAGATATCATTGAATCAAATGCACTACATTTGATATATAAAATAGAATTTAACTAATAGCATTACCTACAATCAAGTGGCCATATTATTAACTAACAAAATATGAAAATGGTAAACATAAAAAATTTGAAGCCTTGGAAAAAAAAACAAGACAGCATTACAAGCATCTTTATTGATTTAATAAAAGTTTTAAATTTTGAAATTTGATGATTTAATCCCAAAGTCATTCTAATTATCATTTTCAGTATCTAAGTTCATAACGATAACAAGAGAGCCTGTGGTTAAAATATTGTTTAAGACAGAAACTTTATTAAAGCTTTAATTTATGAACAAATCTGTGACAATTCAAATTTCACAATACCTACGTACAAACTATCTATGGACAAAATAACTTTATATCATTATATGTGTATATAGATATATATGTATGTATGCATGTATATATGTATGTATATATAGAGACACACACACACACACGGGTGTGCCCGTGTGTATATATATGTGTGAGTGTGCGCGCACGCGTGGATATAGATATATAAAGTTAAAATAAAGATAATACTATCCTATTTAAAAAGATATCATTGAATCAAATGCCCTACATTTGATATATAAAATAGAATTTCACTAATAGCATTACCTACAATCAAGTGGCCATATTATTAACTAACAAAATATGAAAATGGTAGAAAACTTAACAAAATTGAAGCCTTGGAAAAAAAAACAAGACATGCATTACAAGCATCTTTATTGATTTAATAAAAGTTTTAAATTGTGAAATTTGATGATTTAATCCCAAACTCATCCTAATTATCATTTTCAGTATCTAAGTTCTTAACGATAACAAAAACAAATACATATAGAAGGATAAATTCATATACAAATTTATTTTATTAACCAACACCTTTTTGATAAATTGCTTAACACTTGATTATCATTTAGCCAAAATTGGCAAATTAAAAACAATAATTTAGCTTAAGGTTAGCATATTGCAAAATAAGAAGTGTTAAAAGATTTTATATGGAGAACACCAACGTAAAAACCCAATTTCCTAGCATACATAATCCTTTAATCTGAGGCATAAATATCTTTCCTATTTAGTTAAAGCTCAAAAATGTTTGATCATCACTACTGTACTACCAAATCATAGCAAATTAAGATGCACAATCTAACACACAAATTCACCTTCAAGAAAAATCCGAATATTCATCAAACCATACTAAAACCTGAAACCAGAAAAACATTTTGCAGAACAATAAGTATTATTCAGCAATTTACTTGACATTTGATTATGATTAAACAAAAAAACGGGTAAATATAAAATGATTATTTATCAAGATAGTTGCTTGATTAAAAGGATATCAATTATTTAGTGGGGCAGTTTATTAAAATGGTTATTTATCAATATTATTGCTTGATTAAAGGGATATCAATTCTTTAGAGGGGCAAATTATGTAAATGTTCCTCATTGTTTAGTTTTTTTTGCTATATATTTTTATACTTATTTCTAGCAGGGTTAAGAAGAATTAAAATTTAGCCCACTTAGGCCCTATTAGAGATGAATTTTAGTTGCTTCGTTTTATGAAAAGCAAAGCAGGTTCGTTTGGGATGCAGCTTATAAAGCAAGTTATAAAATGTTTTTGCAACCCAACTTAACTTCTCACAACCTAAAAGATAATTGTAGTGGGTACATTTCACCGTGTCTTTACATTTAAAGACTAAATAATTCAAGTTGGTAGGTTGAAGTGGAGGAATGCATCTGGCCTATTGTATTAAAGAATAGTATCACTTAGAATGGAAGGAAAATGTTATTAAATGGTGGAGAGACCTGCAATGCTCTATGGCACAAATTCTTAGAAATTAAAAGAGAAGTATAAAACAAAGCTGTGCAGCTAAAATGAGAATGCTTAGGTGGATGGGTTTGAGACAGAATGTGAAATGAATGTATCCATGCCAATAAAACAAAGCTGTGCAGCTAAAATGAGAATGCTTAAGTGGATGGGTTTGAGACAAAATGTGAAATGAATGTATCCATGTCAGGGTGTAGCTCCAGTGGCAGACAAGATTAGAGAGTCATCTTCGATTGTTTGGTCACACTAAACGTCAACCATCTGATGTCCGGTTAGGAGAGTGAATGTTTTAGATTCAACTCATAATAAGAAAGACAGAGGTAGACCTAAAAAGATTTGGGCATATTGTATAAAAAATGATCTCAATTTATCAAAATTAAATGAAAATGACACTCAATAGGACGCAATGGAGAAAAAGGACTCAAGTAGCCGACCACACTTATCAGGTTAAAGGCTTGTTACTGTTGTTGTATTGTCCCTTATACCATGTGACTAGCTCCATCATGTACTTTGTCTCAAGCCATTCCACAACTCCTTTATTTGTTGTTGATTCGTATCAAAGCACTTCTTGGACATTTGCTCCACCATTCCCAATAAATCATCCCGATGCTTGCTTTCTTTCATCACATATTCTTCATGCATCACAGATAGTTCCCTCAACGCCTCAAAGAAAGCTTCTTACAACATCCCTCTTCTTCAACTTGCAGGGTCCAGCTCTTACTAACAACTGCAATTCATTATTGTATAAATACAAATCCAACATGTACAGTTCAATTCCTGAACTGCATATAATCATGCAACTCTTTTAGCAGTAAATTGTCCTAATTCACAAAAGAGGCCCCTTCAGTTCCTTGAGCAATCAAATATAATTTAAAACATTGCACAAGTTAGCAAAGCAGGACAATGAATAATGGAATTCACTCTCATTGCATCTTTTCTTAATTTGTTTTTTATTTTGCCCTTTTTTTTTTTTGTGAAGTATTGTTCACTCTCATTGCATCTTTTCTTAATTTGTTTTTTGTTTTGCCCTTTCTTTTTTTTTTTGTGAAGTATTATTGGATTCCTTTGAAATGTTTAGCTTCTTCATACTAGTATGTTTGGTTTCTGAAAACATTAAAGCACTAGAAGATTTATTCATCTTAATGGATTGGAAATTTGAAGAAATTTTTCTATGGCCCCCCTAAAATACAAGCCCCTTGCAATAAGCTGTACTAGCAATAAACTATGTTAGCTTCCATTAAAACAGTTCTAAATAGACACTTATTGCTGCAGAAAAAAATTTATAAGAGACATGTTGATCACATCTATTTAAGATTGAAATCTGAAAGCTCTGCAGTAACCTACTTTTCATCATCATAGCTCCTTTGAAGTAAAATTTCCTAAAAGAAAATATTCTTTGATTTTTTTTAATTTTAATTCATTTTTATTTATCATCTTTTTTCTTAAATTGAAGATAAATATTTACTTAACAAAATGATATTTAATTATGGCAAACTTAATTTAAATAATTTCAATAATGCATTATTCTTGTGTTTTAACAGAAAAATTTGACAAACAATATAGGCTAATATAATAATTGATTTTCCATTTATGACCTTGCATTGTTAATCGGGGAACTTCAACAAGACCAAAAAAAGTATAGACATGAAATAAAAATCAATAGCTCTGCTTCTAGCCAAAAGAACATTTGAGGTGGCAATGACTAAATAAATTTAAATTAAAATTAGATATATTTTTAAGTCCAAATTTGGTATTGATATATGTTCCTGCAACTGAAGCAATATAGCTATGGTTGAGTAATCATCCATAATATATAGTAATGTCAATGAACCCCAACCCCCCACCCCCTCTTTTCCAATGCCAATACTGATAGCGGGGGCCCCCAAACACCTAACTAAAAACATTTTAAGTAAATTGTTCGTAAGATGAGTTTATCTTCCATGATAAGAGAACCTCATACGTTGCTGAGAGCAACCACTAACACTTCAGGGCATCCCCATAGATGCTATCTGATAAGCTCCAGCACAAAATCAGCAAGCAACCACGACAAAACAGCAATAGATTGACGGACAAAATTCAAATAAAGGCTGCGCTTACGCAACACACAAGAAAAAAAAAACAAGATACAAAAGTGATCTACTTTTCGACGGGTAGATGAACTCTCCCACAACCCTAGACATCGCTAGAAACACTATTGAAAGAAGAAAAATCAGCAGCCAACAAATATATGCATATAAAAGAACAAACCCTAGGTTCCCCCTTAATATAATCCTCCCACAACATTCCAACTTTCCTACCCAACTTTCCCTCCCAACTCCTTTAATTTCTTCTCAAGGATGTGTGATTAAGGCCCTCATAGACCCCACCGTCTCCCTACCTTCTTCGAACTCAGCAAAGTGTCGCTCCTTTCCTTCACGCGCAACAAACCAGCCCGTCTGTTGTTGTGTCAGGCTAGTTGGGGGGATATCAAACAGTCTAGGAGGGATCGGTGGCCTAATAGACATAATAATACTCCCTCCCAAAGAAATACCTAGTCCTAAAGGAAAATGTAAACTGCTAGTGGATCACCATTCACTAATTCATGATAGATTCTCCAATCCTGGCAGATATTGAAACTCGAATTATGCCCGAGTAGCTTGGATAGTCATCCCTAATGCTCCTCAGTTACCATTCACTACTCTAGAAGATACTTTAAGCTCCTCTGA